CTGTCAAAGGGATATCACTTGCTGATTCTGTGTATCATTCCAGCCGTTATAGTCTCAATTGCTTTATTTGCATTGTTATAAAGCTACTAAAAAAAAATCTTTAAATGTTCAGCATTCTGCTCCCCCATAAGCCTGACTCGTTTAGCATGACAATGCCTCTTTTTGCATGAAGCAGTTTGCTATGACTAGAAATTGCCAAACATCATTATTACATGCGTTAAAACGACAGCAATTTCTGCCTGGGGCAGTGTTGTTTGTTGAAAACTGCAAGCTAAATATCACTTGAATGTGAATTTTTTATATTTTGGTAGCTTTCAGGTATGCATGTTTTAGAGTGCACCTCCACAGACACCATTTCAGTTGCAAATGAAACACTGAAAAGCAAAGGGAGACTTACTCAGGGTGCTGTTCACCATGTCCTGCTGTCTTTTATTAGACCAAAGCAAGGTATCTTTTTTTTTTTCCCCTAAAAGATACGCTGCTAGGTTTCCCAGAAGTCCTGAATTCAGTGAAATTCTCACTTTATTATCATAGAACAAAAGAATCAGTTTTAGTATTTCTTGAAGTCTATCTGGCCATAACATTTTCTGAATCTAAACCAGCTTAAGATTTGGCTTCACATTTAGTAAAAATACAAAGTACTTTTGTTCTTTTTGTTTAGTTCTAACAACGTTAGGTTTCCCATTTTTTTTTAATAATCATCCCATAAAACTATACCGAAATATTTACCTGTCCACGTGAGCACTCTTTGGAAACAGTGCATGCATGTGATGTTTGCACGCTGCTAACTCTTGAACTGTACTGGCAACCGCACTGATGTCTTGGCATTTCTTTAGGCCTTTGGCTGGTATTAAACAAGGCTTATAAGAAATAAGAAACTTGTTTGTCTTCTGTATCTGTAGTTTGAGGAACTTGTTTTACCCTTCAGATGAGCTTTAAGAATGAGCCTGGCCTTTGGGGTGAAGGAGCCTCCAGACTCTTCTCTTCAGCCTGACGTGGCCACCAGACACTGTTTACAATAACTGGATGGATACACCGCGGGGTGGGGGGAATAGCTACAAACTCCCTTTCCAGGACATCCTTGCTGTGTCTGGGTGAGAACAGCATGGCCAGCTGGGGGGGAGAGGAGCTGAGGAGAGCACCTCCTCCAAGAGCAGACCCTGTGCTGTGCAAAGTCAAAGGAAAAATATGGCTTGCCCACAGCGAGAGGACTAGCAAGTTGCCCAGGTTCTTGAAGGCAGATGTCTACTGCTATGGGGAACACAGGAGCCTGAAGTGTCTGCCTCTAAATGTCCCCCACTCCCAAGCACCATTGGAGAAGAAGGTACCTGCTTTGCATTAATGACACCAACCCACCAGCCTGTGCCTCCAGGTTCAGTCTGTCACTGTCAAGACTGGAAAAGAAATTTTCTCTTTTTGTGCCATTGATTCCTCCATCTTCCTCTGACGCATCAGTGATTCCTCTGGAGGGAGAAATGAAAAGGGTGCTCTGAAAGAAACACACCCTTCCTGCAAAGCTTGAACCTGGCTTGTACCTCACACCACTGCCCAAACTGAGTGGCAGGGAAAGCATGGCCAGACTGGTGGCAATGATTCCCCCTCACGGGACATTTCTCACCCTGCTGGATTCACAGCCATTGCAATGAACTCTGATTTTGGAAAGGCTCATGCTTGAAATGCCTTTAGCTAAAAACCTGGTGCTTCATGTGGGAGAGGGTCCCCATGTGAAGACCATGCCTGCATCCCTGCCACAGGATCTGATTCCACAGTGCTGAGCAGGAATACAACAAATCTTGCTGATCTCCAACCATGGTGCTCCCACCTGACCATTTAGCAGGTGGCCTGTGACAGGGTGACAGAGTTACTGACCCCTCCTGCCAAGGAACAACTTAAAACTTTCAGGGTCTGTTACCCTGATTATTTTATAGTATAGATGTTCAGGGACTCATTCTCTTGTCTCTCCCTTGACACAACAGTCCATCTCATTTCTCTCCAGCTGTAGAAAAAGCCCACAGCTCTTTAAATGCTAGATTCCAGGCAGCTCTAGAAGCTTACATTTCACTCATGATGACGTCTGCCAGTCACAGGGAAACAGCTTGATGAAGCTGCTTAAACCGTACTTGAATTACAAAGCAAGTCATTGCATTTCACAGATTTCCAACCTCATTCCAGAAACCTTCAGGGATGTGGAAGAACAGTTTCCACACTCATTCACCTTTAGCACAACTTTTAAAAAATCAATATTTATCTTTTAAATTTTTTGTGTTGCACTTCAAACCCACTCCTAGCTGTATGGTCAAGGAGGAAGGACAGTGTGCTGCCTCTGTTTCCACATCTCAGTCTTTTCCAGGCTAAACGACTCCAGTGATAAGATCTGCCAAGTGAGGGGGTGAGAGTACAGATAAGGTTAAATATTTTTACTAAAGTGACTCTTAGCATGTGATTTGCAAAACAATAAATTTGTATGTGTAGTTCAAAGACACTTTCAGGTATTAGGCTTTCAATTACCAACCCC